TGAGCCCGCCCTGCCGGCACAGTGGCGTCATGGACCCCCTGAGCACCACCCCCAGTGCGAGCGAGGGCGGTAACCTGCACGAGTGGTGGCGATGGCCCGGCTCCGGTACGAGCACCACTCGTGCGCCGGACACCGAGCTCCTCGAGCGCCACCCGGCCTCTGACCTTCGGCTGACCACGGAGCAGACTGTGACCGCCGGCCAGCGTCTGCCCTCTGAGCCGCCGGCGCCGGCGGGGCCGCGGCCGACCTCCGGGCCCCTCCCGACGGGTGGTTACTCCCTGACCGGGGGACCGGTCGGTGGTGGTCTTCTCTCGGAACTGATTCCCACCGAGAGCGTCTCTGGCACCGGACACAGCCTCCTGACCGAGTCTGGCAGGGACGACCTCTGGCATTTCGTGCCCGCAAGCAACACTTCTCCCCAGCTACTGAATGACTCAAGGCTCGTCTTTAACTCGAGCTCCGGTACGGACTTCTGGGGCCTGCCGGGTGTGGCGGCGCCGGCCGGTCGGTCCCCGCTGCCGCTGCCGGCTCCGCTGCTGGTGCCGCTGGCGCTCGCCGTGCTGGTTTCCATCGTCTCCAACGGCCTGGTGCTGGCGTCGATCGTGCGCCACGGCCGGCGCGGCCAGCCGTGCCTGTCGGCCCACCTCAGCCAGACGGCCGCCGCGCTGGTCTGTTCGCTGGCCGCGGCGCCGCTGCTGCTCGGCCCCGCGCCGGCCGCCGCGCTGGCCACCGCCGCTCTGGCGCACGCCAGTCCGGCGCTGGCCGGCGCCGTGCTGCTGTCGGCGGCGCGGCGCTGGTACCAGCGGCCGCTGGTGGGCGCGCTGGCCGCCACCTGGCTGCTGGCCGGCGCTGGCCTGCTGGTGGTGGTGGCCACCGAGGGGCTGCGCTCGCTGCCGCCGGTGCCGCTGCTGGCGGCGCTGTCGCCGCTGCTGCTCACCTGTTATGGTGCTGGGCTGGCCAGCGTGCTGGCCGCTGGTCTGAGGGCCCGGCTCTCCAGCCGCTGGGTGGAGCCGACCGGCGAGCCCGTCTCCCGCTGGCCGCCGGCCGTCGCCGTCCTGCCGCCCGCAGAGCCGTCTGACGGAGAGACTGTGAAGCAGGCGTTTCAGGAGGACGCCACCAGGGGGCAGCACTCGGCGGCCTCCGCCGTGCGCTGGAGTGTGGACGTGGAGCGCTCTGAACTGGACGGTCGGGGGTTGAGCATACCGGCCTCTGATGGGCCGGACCTGCCGAACCAGGTGCCGGAGCTGTCTCCGGACGCCGACGGAGAGCCGACGCGCCGCTACCGCACACAGCTCCCCACCGCAGACGGAGCGGACCCCACCGACGAGCCGGCCGCGGGCCCCACCGACGAGCCGGGCGCGGGCCCCACCGACGAGCTGGCCGCGGGCCTTACCGACGAGCCGGGAGCGGGTTCCCCCGAGCCCGGGAACGGCGCGCCGGTGGGCAGGATGCACCGCTCCGACACATTCCCCATCAGTAACGGAGAGGCGGCCGGCGTGCCGCTGTCGCCGGGCGCGCTCAGCGCCGAGCCGGGCGCGCTCAGCGCCGAGCCGGCCTCTGCGCCCGTGTGCCTGTCGGTGCCGGACCTCAGCCGCCGGCCGACCACCGTCTCCGAGCTGAGCGCCGGCTCGCTGCTGCCGCCGCCGTCCGCCGCACACGACGGCTACCTGGGCGACCACTCGACGCCGCCGTCGGGTGCGCCCAGCCCGCTGAAACAGCGCCGCCAGCGGTCCCGGCGGGCGCGCGACCGGCGCTGCGCGCGCGAGGCGCTCCTGTCGCCCCGCTCGTGGCCGGTGACGCCGACACCGCGGCCGGTGCGGCGGCGGCGGCCTCTGCTGGGCCGCCCGGCGCCCCTCCGGCCGGCCGGCGCCGACCGCCAGGGAGCGCTGCTGTGCCTGCTGACGGCGCTGACGTACGGGCTGCCGTCGGCGCTGGTGCTGGCGCTGGTCTGCTGGCCGGCCAGCGCCCAGCACCTGGTCTCCGCCTACCTGCTGACAGTGCAGCTCTCGGCGGCCGTCAGCTCGCCTCTGCAGGCGCTGGCCGATCTGTCCGTGCGCGGTCTGCTCCGGAGGACGGTCACGTGCGGACGGTAACAGGGGCAGGGGATTGTCACTCTTGTCCGTGATGGGACAGGGGACGATCAATGGTCCGTAATGGGACAGTGACGATCAAAATGGTCCGTCGGTGCTGGCCAGGGGACACCATGATCGGTGATGGCAGTAGGAATAGAGTGGGGTCTTCAGCCGTGTCGGCAAAGTACGAGCAGCACCACTCTCCCGAGAGACAGAGTAGAGTGAGTCGGATAAAACGACCGGGCTCCGGCGAAGCTGTGTCGGGTGTGTCTAATCGTATGTATGCTGCACTTACGTATGCCCAGAGCCGCCATACATAGCATAGATGCTGGATATATGTGTCCCATCAGACGCATCGTTTGCTGTCTTGGGGGAAAAATCAACACTTGATTTTCAACCCGCGAGTTGCTGGGGGGGGGGCGTTAAACGCCCCCACTTTTTTTGCCGGGCCATAGCATAAAAACGGCGCGCCGCAGGCGCGCCAAATTTTGGGGACCTGTAGGGAATCAATTGAAATTTATTGTGACAAAGTTTCAAAAAAATCGGTCGGAAACTTTTTGAGATATCGAGGTTTTAGTGACGTCATGATTTCTGAGTTTTCGACCAAAAACGGCATATGTTCAAAAAATCATATAAAATCACAGAATAGACATACAGACATGCCGTAAACGCCATTAGACTGCCAATAACATGAACAATCAAATGGCTATCTTTGATTATTGATTATCGTTCCGCATTTTCCAAAATCTTGAACTGAATCTTGGCAATTTCTCGTGACTTCTTCACGACCATGATACATGTATTTCTTAAATTGAACTTTTTTAGCCAAACACGTACACATATGATAAAATGAATGCCACCATCGTGTTCTACGCCCCAAATTACCCATAAAACATGTGTCACAGGCTGCGAATATCAGTTTTGATTTTCGGGGATATGTGCCTGCCCGGTTGACCTGACCTTGACCCTGACCTATGCTTGACTGACCCCTACATGGAGCTGACACTCTTGTAGGCCTTATATGATGGATTGTGCACCGTTTTGACAGAGTTTATGACGAGAGGCGCCCAGGGGCTCCGCCACGGTTTTAGGATTGGGGGGTCCGGCCCAAAACACAAAACCTCGCTGGTGGATCCAGCACTGATAAAAATTTTGACACCCCACATTACATCTGACTCCTCTTACAGGCGTCAGTGATCTCTAAATTTGGGTTCAAACTCCAAAATTTGGAGAGGTCGATCTCAATATATGGTGTCCGACACCAAGAACTGGTGTTGTCCTGAAGGTGTCGCGACTCCCCATGGGGCAAACGGGCTGACTCCCTTGATTCCAAGACTCCAAGAGACGGTGTCACGACTCCAGACGGGGGAGTTACGACTCCTTCCTGTAAATTCAGACTGATTTGTAAAGGTGTCCGACTCCACAGAAAGGCTTCGTGGAAAAGGTGTCGGGACACCTTTTTCCGTTCGCAGGGAGTCGGACCCCATTACAAGGTGTTTTGGACTGATTTGTAAAGGTGTCCGACTCCACAGAAAGGCGATGTGGAAAAGGTGTCGGGACACCCTTTCCCGTTCACAGGGAGTCAGACCCCCTTACAAGGTGGTTAACCTCGAGTGTTAGCCAATCAGAGCGCGCCGTCCGCCACTGATCGAAATGGGATGCTTACGCATCGGACATCGTTTTAAAACCAACTTCAATTAATTAAAAAGTTAAATTTTCCTTCCAGGTACATACAAATGTCAACTTCGGTCATATTTCCGATGATTTTTTTTTGGGGGGGGGGGCCCAAAACGGCATGAGGCTCAATTTGAATATATTTTTTATTTCTAATTAAAAATAAATTTCGGCAAATCCCAAAAAAATAGTGGCCTAAATCCGAAGAGTTTTTAGTTTTAGGGGCACCCTACCTTGGGACCCTTCGCTAAAATGCCCCTCCCATGACAGGTGGCTGGATCCGCCAGTGGCTACCATCCATGTTTGACCCATGTCATCAGAATATTTTTGCAGAGCCCCACGTGGCGCCACGTGATAGTGACGCGTAACACGTGGCTGCATCGTCTCGCGTGACGGACACCACCGTCTTTCCGGCGGATCGCTACGTCGAATGGTGCCAACCCCTTCCCGATTGGTCCACGTGCACGTGGAGATGCTTCGGCGCTATTGACTCTGGTATTCTGGTATCTTCTCCCGGCGTGCCGGCACCCTGCGTTCCCTCCCAGCGCGACGGAGGTGCCACCGACGAAGAGGTTGCTAGGCAACGGTATTTGCTTGCACTGTTCTATGAACTCGGGTTTCTATAGCAACCCCGTAACAAACCAATGAATCTGAACAGGTCTCCATGGCAACCATGATACCAATATTGTTATAGAACACGTTGTCTTGCAAACTTAGTTGCAACTATAGCTTTGTTTCAGCTATCCTAGTTTTTAAGAATCCAAAAGAGGAATAATATAATTAAATTTATTATAATGAGAATTGTGTCTATAAAAAACGAAGTTAATCACAAACCATCCATCAAAACTCAATTATTTTTAATGAATATCAGGTTGACATTGGTCAACGTGAGAAATGTTAGTATATTTCTGGTAGAAAACTCCATCCAACCTGTTGTTATAGGGCCTTGCTGGCACCCTTCCGTGGAGTCAGAGGCCTCTGTGACGTCACTTCCTGCATGAACTGGCGCATGAGCGTCTCAGTCGGCGCGGAGCTTGGTCCGGTGCGCTCGCGCGTTCGGCGTCGCTCGGATGAGGGTAGGTGAGGGCGGCGATAGGCCTTTACATTTATATTCGGTGTTTGCATACATATTCTGGACTTCCTCAAGCTATCGGTAAGTTGCATTGTACCTACCTATTTTTGTTTTCATTTCTGTTTTCGCCATACGGGCCCTGTTTTGAACTTGCGCCGATTGCGATGCCTACGTTCAGGGTCGTGCCTATTGTGAAAATCACAGAGGGTGCTTTGCATGTATGCAGAGTTGTGAAAATCCTGTTTGAATGCAGTGGCGTCGCAACAGATTTTCGATTAGGAGGGTCGGGTTGAACGGTCAGTCAAGGTGATCCCCCAAAAAACTGAAAAGTCCCCCGATTTCGGCCCCTATTTTTTAGCCGGCGTTAAAACAAGATTTTAAAATATTCCTGCTGTGGTGTTTCCGTAGTCTGTGCGCTGCTGTGGGGGGCGGGGGAGGGTGAGCCACTGCTGTGGCTGTGGTGTCCCACAGCCAGGGTGCTGTGGGACTGTTAGGGTGAGCCAGTGCTCTGCAGTGTGGCCGGATGAGCTACTGGACGTTGACAGCCAAGCGGAAGTGGACAACCACAGCAAGCTCATCATCTCAGACGTCGCTGTCAGTGGAGATTCTGTCAGCCTCTGCAGGCGGTGAGTACCAGATCTGTTCATTTTAAGGTTGTGAGTAATTCATAGATGCTGAGTCGTGGTAGCGTTTCCACGTCTCCAGCTCCAACTCCTATTCTTTATCATTTCCTTTCTTTTCTACATCATTAATGTTTGTCCATCATTGTTAAAGAAACCGTGTCACTCCCCTGTTACATGTTTGTACACCATTATACTGCTAATTACATTATAGACATAGTTACTAGTGCATGAAGTTCGGTAATAGTTCGACCAATTTCGACAGTACGGCATAGTGCATCGGTAGTTCGGCAGAGTTCAGGCTATTCGGATATACCTAGCGCATAATATTCAGATAAAATGCATTCAATTTTAGAAGCAGTGCATTCGTGTTCTGCATTGTGTGGTTAGAAACGTTTTCACTAATGTTATTTATGCTTGCACTACGCCGAAATATGCAGCAGTATGTACGCCGAATATCGTGCACCGATTCAATATATTAACGCACTTGCCGAACAATTGAAATTGCCTGCACTATTTCTGAATTTCGTGCTCTGCCGCTTAAATTGGCCGCAACAAGTGTAGATGTAGTGAAGGGGGGGGGGGGCGAGAGCACCATTGGGGGGGGGGGGCGTATATAAATTGACACCTATGAGCACCACTAGAGGTTTTTCACTTATCACCTACGCGATGGATGTCGCTATTCACGCGATTTTACACATGGTGTGCAAGTTTGAACCTCCTAACTTTTAAGGTCAGGTCACCAGGTCACTTTGAATGACCGGCCAACCTCAAGTTACCTTTTTGCAACTTTGTCACCGTGCCAGAGCTACAGTAGATGTCGGAGGCCTTTGAAAGTCGCAGGGTGTTATAAGGTCATTAGTAGCTACAATTTGTATATCTCGGAATTTTGATATCGATGACCTAAGGTCAGGTCAATTTCTCGACCTCCCCATTATAAGTCAATGGGGGAAAAATCAACTCCCTGTTTTTACCACTAAAACGGGTCGGAATGGCCCCATAAACCATACATGACCTCATATACGATCAACCTTCACTACCTTGAGGTCTGTTTTGCTGTTGGGCAGCTGTAAGGTCATGTGACGTCATCAAAGGTCACCAGCGGTTTTTTGACAATAACTCCGTACAGGAACAAGATACAGCCGCGCGGATGGTCTCATTGTGTTCAGCTCGTCAAGGCGCATCGAATGATATATATGATGACCTCGAGGTCACGTGACCTGAGGTCAACCTTTGACCTTGACCTTTCGAGGTCAACATATATATCATTCGATGCGGATTGACGAGAGGATCACGATGATGCCCCTAGTTTGTTCCTATATTGACTGGTTCGAAAGTTATTCGAGAAAAACTCTCCCTATACCTAGCGCCGCCATTTTGACTTTTTTTACCCCTGTGACGTCATCTTTGACCTGACCTGAAAATGACCTTAGTAAAAATTGTAGACCTTGTCCGTGCGTATCCCTCGCCGTTTACCGCTTGTCGCTATCTTGCTTCGTTCTCGAGATCTCAGGGGGGGGCGGTCATCCGCCCCCCCCCCCCGTCGGTACGAAGTTGGCGCAGACCCCCGTCGGTGCGCGGGTTAAAACCCATGTTAGGTGGCTATTTTACTGTAAGGCACGTTTGAGCACTAAAAAGAATTATGTAATTATAACCTCCAGCTTGAAGTTTGTCGTTTTTGTGACCCTTCAACTAACAAAATGGTAGGTATATACTAGTGGTGTCATTTTCCAAAAAATGTCTGACCGATAGACATTTTTTGCCGGTCCCGTAGCTCAGTTGGTAGAGCGTTGGACTCCGCGTGGTGAGAGCACGCGTTCCCGGTTATAACAGTCCGGGTTCGAAGCGCGACGGGCGCTTGACATTTATGGGCCTCCTGACAGGTATGATTGCGGTTGGTGGCAGGCCGTAGCCAGGCGAAGTCAGTGAGGGGACCGGCCGTGCGCGGCTATGTGCGCACGTTAAACTTTGGACTCTAAATTCTGCCATAGAACTGGAATTGCGCGATCGGAGGGTAGAGGGCAGGGTCACCGCAACAAGCTTCGCTTAGCGGTGGCTCTGTCCTTGTGAATCCTTCCTAGCAAAAGGTTCGGACTAAATTTATAAAAAAAAAAAAAGTTCAGTCAATTCTTAGCCACTGCAAAATACATTTTTTGTGGTAGAAGTTACATTGCTAAGGGTAGATTGCATGGTAAATTGGCTAAGGGTACGTTGCATTTAACTAGGTAAAAATGGAATGCTTTCTCTTTTTGAAAATGGTTTTACTGACAGGGTGACCGAAAATGTCCGATATTTGGGGGGCCTGACCGACCGATTACCGAATCGGTCAGCACATCTTTTCGGTAACCGAATTTTTCGGTAACCGATTGACACCACTAGTATATACCCTGTTTTATGTCTTCTTTTTCCGCCTTATTTGCAGTTCTGGGATTAAGTGGAGCTTCTGACAGGCATGGAACCCGAAGCGTTCCGGGGCAAGGCCCTGGGTAACCTGGAGAGGCTGAAGGAGCTCATCTGCAATGAACATCGGTGCCCGCATGGTAAGTAGGCGCACACCCTCTGTAATTCTTCGTACTCTCTCTCTCTCTCTCTCTCTCTCTCTCTCTCTCTCTCTCTCTCTCTCTCTCTCTCCTCTCTCTCCTCTCTCTCCCCTCTCCTCTCCCTCTCCCTCTCTCCTCTCTCCTCTCTCCCTCTCCCTCTCCCTCTCCCTCTCTCCTCTCCCTCTCCCTCTCCCTCTCCCTCTCCCTCTCCCTCTCCCTCTCCCTCTCTCTCTCTCTCTCTCTCTCTCTCTCTCTCTCTCTCTCTCTCTCTCTCTCTCTCTCTCTCTCTTTGAAATTCGTTATCGTCCAAAAATGTTTCGTTTTCGTCCAGATGCACTCTATCACGCTCAGAAGCGAAATGGCGCGGGATTGGCAAGGCTCCGTCCGTGTACGTTCTAAGTTATGAAATTTAGTGTGAATGAATGTTAACAACTGCGTTTCATTCGTCAGATCGTGCCATTTGGCATCTGGCATTCCTGCTGGGGGAAGACCTCGACGTCCTCTTGGCTGGGGGAAACGTCGGCATCAGGATGGTGGACGCCGGCGTCATCGTATCGGACGAAGCCCAGCTGATCCCTGAAGCCAACGGTGACGTGAAACTGGTCCTGTGGGTTCTGGCCCACATGGTCTTTGCCGCCAAATTCCCTTCAGGGTATGGGCGGCTGGGTTCCGTCCTGTACAGCAAAGTTTGCGGCTTCCGCGTGCAGGTCACAAAGGTCACGGAGCGTGTGCTTCATAAGATCTACAAGTAGTGAGACGTTAGCAACGGCCGCTGACCGGCAATGAAGGAGGCGGGGAGGGGGGTCGGTTGATTTTTTTTTTTTTTTGCCCACTGCGAGTGACCCAGGACAGGTGAGAGGCAGGTTCATCGCCATGGCAGATTGTGTGGTCCGCTGACAGGAGTACAGCTGTAATACACGACCGTTTTCCACTCCTGTGTCTGTTGTCGGGTTTGGCGGTTGTTGGCGGGTTTGGCGGTTGTTGGCGGGTTAGGGGGGTGGGGGTGGGGGGAGCGGGCGCATCGGCCGAACGACACGTGTGATGGTGGGAGATGTGATGGGAGGCAAGTGACCGGGCGGTGGGACCCGGTCACTTGCCGTCGCGTGTTTTGCTCCCCTGTTTCGATGACACACGTTCCGGTGTTTGATGTCTCCCTCAATGACTCCCTAAATGGATTCACCGACACCCATGATGTGGTATCTCCATGAAATGAAAAATCCAAAGATGCTAGGTATCAAAATATAAAAACGTTATTAGCATATTTGGATTTTTTATTTCATTATGTTACCACATTATGCGTGTCAGTGAGCCCATTTTGAGAGCCATTAAGGAAGAAATCAGACACCGGAACGTAGTGTCACCGAAACAGGGGAGTCCGACACCATATGGGGGGGGGGGGGTCGGACACTAGGAAAAGGGGTCAGTGATTCTCCTGAAGGGTGTCACGCAACGGGAGTCGCGAAACCATATGAGGGGGTGTCGGACACTAAGAAAAGGGGTCAGTGATTCTCCTGAAGGGTGTCACGCAGGGAGTCTGACACCATATACGGGGTGTCAGACACTAAGAAAAGGGGTCAATGATTCTCATGAAGGGTGTCACGCAAGGGAGTCTGCCATTATGCGGGGCGTCAGACACTAAAACAAGGGGTCAGTGATTCTCCGGGATGGTGTCACTCGAAAGGAGTCGCGACCTTTTTAAGGAGTCGTGACGCCCTCCTTTATTGCATCTGGACACCAGTATACGGTGTCGAACACCATATTTTGGTGTTAGGATTCCCCTCTAGGGACTCATGGTGACCCCCTTGTGGGGCGGACTTTTCGTCAGAGTCAATTGATCCCTTATACGGTGTCATTTTTTTTTCAGTGAGGGTTGGTATTTTGTGCGAATTCACCCCCCCCCCCCTCCCGCAGCTCCAGAAATCGATGAAAAGGCTCAGTTTTTTTTTCTAGAGTTCAAAGAAAACTTAACAATTTTAACGGGAACATTTTGCTTCAAACCGAAAAACCAAGGTCCAGAAGGAATCGAAAACCGAGAAGCGGAGCCCATTGACACCGACATGTGGCCTCTCAAATCAACGTTCTTGAGCAATGGGGGCCGCTGTTGCGCGCTCCAAGGGCGGTGTTAGCCATCAGACAGCGCACTAGGCTCTCAGTGACTGGCATGGGCTTGAGAATTCAGGGACCTTCATAGGCACTCAGATATATATATGTAGGCTCTTAGGCCAGTGTCGGGTCCTCCAAGGAAGTAGTTAAAGGAAAGCGCAGGGCTTTAGGAGCCATTGTAGGGATTTGAAAACCCTGCCCTCATATAGCAGTATGGGGTCCTTACTCCTTAGAGACTGACATTCAGTCTCTGTGATTAGAGTGTGACCCAGCTTGACCTGAAAATGGATATAAAAATGCTGCACTTGAATCAAAGGTCAGGTTATGGGGATCCTGTAAGAGTTGTGACTTGTAGATGTCCTATCTCTACCAACCTGCATTCAGAGCCCTGTGCAGATTATTGCAGATTACCTCAGAACGGTGTGAGGCTGCTCAGACTAGTATGGTGCTTAAAAGATCGGCTTGGACCCCCCCCCCCCCCCCAGCACTGTCGGGTGACCTCACATGGTAAGAGGATTCTCAGATCGATTTGAAGCTCTTTTGGGGCGGGTAATTATGTGTCTAGGTGTCCTGCAAGCTGTAACCCTCTCACGAAATTATAGCCCAATCCTAGCATGCTTAGCTAATCCTAGCAATCTTAAAAGCATTCATAGTAATAACAAAATGGTAGAATAATGACACTCCCGTACATATTATAGGTCGGCGAGTGTTGAGCGATTCGTGTGTGTTACAACATTTTTAGGGTTTCCTACATTTCTAGATCTTAAATTCCTTAGCTTTGCGACTGTCAACACATTCTAAATTATTCAACACATTCTGTGAATGATTTAGTCATTCTTACGCGAAAACAAGCTTATAAATACTCGGAATATTGGGGGGGGGGGGGTACTGTACCCCCCAGGTAAATTATTGGGGGGGTCCGGACCCCCGCGTACCCCCCTGTGGCGGAGCCCCTGGAGGCGCCCATTGCGAAGTCCTGAAGTCCATGCTACTGAAAGCCCGATTTCAGGTGTTTGACCTGACCTTGACCCGACCTGTGACCTCAAAATTCAAGTTTAAAGTACTCATCTGAAGCGTCTCGTCACGTTCTTTCGTTTGCCGCCTCGTGCGTTTCGCTGCGCCTATTGGTTCTCGAGTTATCGGCTGGGGGCGTTTAACGCCCCCCCCCCCCCCCCCAGCAAACGGTGGGTGGCGAAATACCCCAGCAACTGCCGGGTTAATGACCGATTACCTAACTATATATCTACTTATCTATTTATGTGCGTTTTTAACGTGTAGGTACCTAAACTATTAGCCATTATAGAGCCCGCTCATGTATACATCATTACCTACAGGTAATGATGTACCTAATTATATACGCGTCTTAGGTCTAACTTGCGGTCTATCCTAATTCCTAAGCAGCAAGGTCCTTGCGCAGCTCAGACTATCCAATGTAACATAATTAGTTATAGGTATCCCTCAGAAAAAAGTGCATAAAATAAAGCCGATTATAACTGATGCCCTTGAATTTCGGTAGCTGTACCGGTATGATACCGCCACTAAGATAGTCGTATTTATTATATTATACCAGCTAAGTCGTTGCTTGCATTTACGTTACCATTAAATCGAGTTATTTTTCAAGGTATTGAACGCCCACCTAAAAAAATATGAACCTTTTATCTGCTGCTGGTAATGTTTACGGATGCTATAAACAAACGAGAGCAGTTTTTAGCAAGCTCTTGTCAATATGAATATATTCTAATTTTATGTTGTTTCTATAAACTGCCTGTCCGATCGAGATCACGGCTTATTTGGACCATAAGGGGACCTGAATGATAAGCACTCAGCCAAATACCAACGAGTCATATCTTTAATCGTGCGTCTACAACATCCCGGCATATCTACATAATTCTGCCCTTTCGTATTGCATAGGTATTTCTCGTTTATTTGTGCTTTGTTACCTTTGATTTTGTCCCTTGTTGACGATGTTCATTTTAGCGTAGTACCGCCACTCCAAGGGCATCGTTATTTGTGTTTGACATTCCCGTTAGGGCCGGAGTAGCGAGGTGAGGTCCTTACCCTCTACATACGCAGTGGCTGCCGTCGGGGCTGGGTGGGCTGGCGTCCGTCTGTGCCGGAACAGGTGCGTCCAGCCGCGGCCCGATCGGCCATCGCCGCCAGCCGACCGGAGCGGGTACGTCGGAGCTGATCAATCAGGGCACCGGCCGGGCGACCTGCGCCGGACCACAGCCGGACCACTGCACAGGACCACCGGACCACAGACAGGACCGGACCACAGCCGGACCACAGCCGGACCACAGCCAGACCACAGCCGGACCACATACAGGACCACAGACAGGACCACAGCCGGACCACAGACAGGACCACAGCCGGACCACAGCCGGACCACAGCCGGACCACATCCGGACCACAGCCGGATCACAGCCGGACAACAGACCGGACCACAGACCGGACCACAGCCGGACCACAGACCGGACCACAGACCGGACCACAGACCGGACCACAGACCGGACCACAGACCGGACCACAGACCGGACCACAGACCGGACCACAGCAGGTCCGGAGCGTCGCCCAGCGGACCGCGACGGTGACTTTATTCACTATAATCGCCGTGATCGACCGTGAGTCGACAGCTGACCCCAGACGGGCCCGAGGGACCATAGACCGGCGTGGCCGTATCTACACGTTTTTCAATCTGAACAGGAGTTAAGCCTAGGCAATAAATAGACGGGTGGATGTTTCATTCCATTCTAAATTAGGCATAATATATTTTTACGACGATATGAATAAAATTGCGTATAACATATATGATTTTACGTTACAGGCACACGTTTCATTCTAAATTACATACGAAACGTAACAAGAAAAGCTAAATATGAACTGATGAACTGAAGAATGAACAATACATTGATCATCAGCCAGTCCGCCCGTCAAAATACATGATGGCGACATTGCGGTCATTCCATCGTGTGTAATGACATGCTCGTTTTGACTGCAGTCTCTTTGGTGCAGCGCCGGTAACCGATGTCACAGTTACGACGTCCATCTACTGTTTCTCTATTTGAACTAAATACCTTTTAAAGCAAGCGTTCCAATACAATATTCTTTAACATCAGCACAATTTTGGTGTATCTAACGATAGCATGCCTACTTCCGTTTAAGTTATGATTCTGTCTCAGGTAGTATAGTATGTAATCGATTCGGAAGTCGTGTCGTCTCAAACTTATTAGCTATGACGCAGGCACAACGAGGTTACTCACAGCTTGTCATCTGTTTCTGAGAATTGCACAGCGGAAACACCGTTTGCGGCACCAGTTAGTATGCCAGCACAGCGCTACGAATAGAAACACCGGCCGCCTATTTACGTCTGTGGTTCAGCTGTGACGTCCGAATATTCACGTAACCGAACTTACGGCTGAAGACTTGCACGAACCACCTGATGACGAGCAAAGCCGATACGACCGTCCCATTCAGGATTTCCTTTCGGCGTGCTTTGATGACCGCACCTAGCTGTCCCCGCACAGTTGGCACCTTCGGGGACGTCTCGGAAATAGTTGTCACCGGCGACAAGTGGCACGGGTGGCCGTCCCACCGCGGAAATGCGTGCCAATGTATGATATGCCATCTCAGACGCCCGCAAACCGCCGTACCTGAATCGACACTCGTGCACGCGGAAACAAAGCACTTCCGTCTTTCAAACATGTTACGTGCCGCGCGTCACCGCGACGCAACTCTGTGGCCCGCACAACGGGGAAACTGTCAGGTGTCGACCACTGACTGGTGGAAAGGGTTTATCTCGGCTGAGCGTGGATTACAGGCGGGCGGACAGTCCTG